GGGGGGGGGGGACGCTCTTTCTTAGTGTGAACCGCGCGCGTATCTAATCACTCGCTACGTTCTCGCGTCGCCGTAGTTGTCGTTGCGGTCACTGCAGCCGCTTGGGTGCCACCGCCGCTCTTGACGGCACGTAGGTCGCTGCTGCGTAACTTCGCCCGCACGGTGCCTGTAACAAGAGAGAGAGAGAGAGAGAGCGATGCTCTATTAGAAGGCGTACCACGCGGTGCCGCCGCCACCGTTGCCGCTGCCGCCACCGTGGCCGCCACCATTGCCGTTGCCGTTGCCGCCACCGTTGTTTGGCGGAGGCAGCGGTTGTTGGTTTCCGCCGCTCGAACCGCTCGAATTGCCGCTCCCACCACCACCGCCGGAAACGTTGCCGCTACTGTTTGACATATTCTTACCCGAAACGAAATATGCGATGACGATTACGATGACCACTAGAATAGTGATCAAAATAGCCGCGTTCTTCCACTCTTGGTTTGTCATTTTGCCGGTCTCACTACGGTGTTTGCACTCGGTCGGTCGTCGTATCCCTCTTAACTGGTAGCTCGACCGTTCACGTTCGATCCGTCTTTCCTTACAGAGTTGAGACAAAGCAGCAGCAACTCACACCAAGCATGTCAAGAAACGACAGTAGATACAAGTCTTTTCTGTCTGACGAGGAAGCGGACGTCCTGGATATGCAATCGCGGTGCGTTGGCAGCAGCCGAAAACGTATGAACGAATACAATGAAGATGATGAAGATGAAGAATACTGCCGAGGGAACGTGAAAAAGCCGATACGAGCCACGCGCTCGAAACCCAAGGCGTGGAGCAGAATAGTGGATGATGAGGACGACAGCACTGACGAGCGGAAGCATCCACCGGCCATGCAACAATCTCGACCAAGCGCCAAGCGTTCGCCGGAAGACAGTGACGTCGAGGACACACCGCATGCCAAAAGAAGCGTACCCTTCGAACGTGTGAAACTGACATCGGTGGCTGCTAACCGCTCGACGAACCTGTCTCCGCTGCCACCGCCACCACGCGCGCCTTCGGGCCAGCGCCCCGGGCGAGGTCGAGTAGAAGATCGATGACGACGACATCATGATGACGACGACGATACGACCGAATCTGATGTCGCGATCCGAGCAATGGGCGCGATGTGGCGCGCCGCTGCACGGAGTCACCAAGAGACGTATTCGCGAGAGCTGGAGCGCGTGGATTGTGGGGACGATTGTGTCGCTTTCGACAGCATCTACGCGCAGTCGTGCTGGTCTCTGCTATCGCATCTGGATTACGATCTGTGTTACAGTAACTTTGGTACCGGGCGGGCGCCAGCGTTCGCCGAAACGTTGCGCAAGATCAACGGTCGTGTGCAAGCGTGTCTGCACGATGTGATACGTTGCAGCAAGTACGTCGGCATCGATTCGCAATTTACGCTGGCTGAAACGGACGACCCGGTATCGGCGGCAGCGACCCAGCGCCAAATAGACGACGAGTCCAACTATTGCGCACGGTGGTCTGCCGACAAGTGGGCGGAGTTGTGTCGACGCGATCCCGACAATATATATCGGCGCTGGCTTGACTTGGTAAAAGTGCTAGACTACCAGGTGAGCAAGATCTGCCGTCTTGCGGCGATAAATGCGCGTGCAAGATTCTCTCGGGCCGGACTCGACGAGCTTCGCCACGCTGAACACCACCAGCGTGGCATCCGTTCCGTTAATGTCGTACCTCAAGTTGCGCGTCGTTATGAGAGACATGTACACACCGGCCAAGCCGACGAAAGCTGACGAGGGCGGTGAGAGATTGGGCATGTCCGGCATTTTTTTGGTGTCGCTGCAGGAGGTGGAGAAGAAAGGTCTCATGTTCACCTCTTGGCAGGATTTCAATCGATATCTCGAGCGGGTCGCGTCGAGCGTGTTGCTGCCAAACACCGCGAGTGCGACCGCCTCCAATTATCGCGTATTCGTCAAAATCACCAAACGCCGAGACACGAAGGATTTCCAGCTGTTACGACAGGGCGCACCCGGTGTGCTGGGACTGGTGGAACTCGCCTTCGCCAGAGTCGACGCCACGAAGAAGAGTATCTCTGTGAAGGCATATATAGCTCTCACGATCTCGCCAGCGACTTCGTTCGCCACCGGCGTCACTACCGACTTGTAAAGACTCCATAATAAACGCCTATTGTACACAAACTTTGGTTTTTTCTTTGTGCTAGATTAGTATTGACTAACGATACCGCCGCAGCTCTCGCACACGGTGATAAGGTTGAGCGATTCGTCGTTGGCGCGCAACTGTCGCCGTTCGGTTCGTAACGCGTGGCCGACGTGAGTACACGCGCGTCGCCTCATCATGCTCAGAAACTCGAGGTACGCGTCGAAAAGAGCTTTGGTGCTGCTCTCTGTATCAGCCGCAGCAGCCGCCGCTGGGCTTTCGAACAAAATGTGATTCTCGAACGATGTAAATTGAGTCATGAGCTGCTTGGCGCTTAACCCGTTGGGCGACTTAGCCATTTAACACAACGACGCGTGTCCACGTCGTGCCAGAGTTTCAGCAGCAACTATTCGCCGTGTGTTAAACTTGCGGTCTCGCGTGCACTCTCGGGCGCGTCGTTAATGTAAAGAGGTCGCAGGAAAAAGCCACCGCTACCAGCGTTGGCTGCAGCGGGACATTCGTAACGATTGCACACCATCGGTCGGCGTCGCAGCAAAACGCGTTCCACGAACTCGCGATAATTGAGCACCACTTGGCCGAGCGTCCAGATACTGAGCCGGCGAACGAGGTGCGTATTGGCAGCGATGGTGTTGTGGCAAGTGGCCAGTAGCACGTCTATCGACAGCGCGTTTTTGGCCGAGCGAGAGAGCGACGAGTACGCCTGGAAGTAGGCAGGCCCGCCGTCGTTCAGCCAGTGGTGTTTGCACTCGCTACACCAGATAAAGAATTCGAGATTTTGTAGCAGGCCCAGCAGCCGGGAGATGCAAACGTTACTGCGTGCGACGGACAGAGCGCACAGAGTGTGCAACAGGATCCAAAGCAGTTGCGAGCTGCCGGCTTGCCATGCCATGCCCATGGGCAGCATCAACGGTAACAATTGAACGCCGCGTGACTCTTCCACGGAGGCAGCGATGGGAGCGATGCACTTGGACACGGTGCATTTGGACACAGCCAATCACAGCACTGTGTGATTAGAGACATTTGTAGGATCCCTTGGAACAGCGACTTGTGATTGGACTGTGTTCAATTGTCCCGTGTCCAACTGATATACACCCGGCAGCGATACTCTGTAACGAACGATGTCGCGCTAGAGCGTAATAGTAGCGCACATACAGTTGCACAAGCGACCAACGGTTGCTCGTCGGCGTCGGCGCTGCAGCGGATATCGCGTCATGCATGTTCTGCTGCTCGGCCAAAGCAGCAATGTCGAAACGCGCGATCGTTTCTGACCCGTCGATGTTCACGACAAGCGGCAGATCTGTCGTCTCGTTCGCATCGTTTAGTTCTACGAAGAATTGTAACGTGCGCACTCGGTCAGTGTCGCGCACCGCCGCCGGCGCCATCTCCGTTGCGCTGTCCTCGGCAGACTGAGTTGTCGAGGAAACGTAACGCGCCATAAAGTCTTCGAGCGGCCGGATTCGCTCCATGTAATCCTCGTTAGCCTCCACGAACGTCTCGAATTTTATACGCTCGTGCGGGCGGTATTCATCGAGCAACATGTCGTCCAGGAAATCGAACAACTCACAAGATATTTGAAAACTCGCCGAGGCAGTGGCCTCGCCGCGCTCGTCCGCGCGCGCATTGAATGTAGGTGACAAACTCTGCAATAGGGCGATAGAGTACATCGTGTCGAGCGGTCGTCTCTCTATCAGTGCGAACAATGAGGATTGCCAATCAGCGCTCACGAATCCCCGCAAGTGGCGCGATTGCAAAAACATTGGTGCCGTGCACTCGCCGTGACCGGCGCTACGGTTCTTGTCCATTACCGCTTGCATAATCGTCGAGGAAGTGAAAGAGAAGAGAGATCAGTGCGGCGCCGCCTCTTCTTACATCGCCGCCGCTGCTTACGCGCGTTGGGTGGGACAATATAAATAAAAACAATGAAATATGGCGCAAACTTTTTTTATTGTCAGCAGACCCCGTTCGCTCTACCATTCTCGCGGATAGTTCCAAGCGATGTAATTGACGCGATTATCGATCTGCCAGTATTGTCGTTTGGGAGCGTCTGCGAAAATGTACGATCTGTTGGAGAAAGTTTCAGCATGGTACACTCGGGTTAAGTTTCTGGGTAGCCCCATGCTGTACAGCGGCCGCGGCTCGGTGGCTTGACGACTCGGTAACCGCATGGTATAATATGTCGATCCTACAAACAACACAATGCTGTCGGGCGTTTCAAAGGCAGCGTCTACAACGCGCGAGGCTTCGTCGACTGCGGCGTATTCCAGGGGCAATTGGAAATAACGAGTCCACTCGAACGGAAAGCCGCGTATCGGTAGCGCAGTCGTCTGCGAGAAGGCCCACACTAACGTGCCCTTGAACAGCATGAACCAGCCGCGCAGGCCGACCAGCGCGTCATATCGCCTCAGCTCCGGAATGGCACACGCGATTTCGCGCAACATCGCGTACTTTGCAAAGAGCTCCATTACGTCACCGCGGCTGCACCCGTGGCGGCCCTCATCGCTGCGTACGTCGCGACGTTCCGCGCGAGTCGTTGGTGTTGCTGCTGGCAGTGCCGGCGGCGGCGGCGGCGGCGGTTCAAGAATCTCGCCGTCGCCGTACAACGCGCGCAGCGCGCGCAAGTCTGTGTTCGGTACAGCTGTTCCGATGGAAACTTGGCGATAAAATGGAAACATGACGCATCTCACGTCCTCCGAATGCGGCAGGCCGAGGCAATGGCCAATTTCGTGCAATGCCGTCCAATACAAATCTACGCCGTCGCCGTCGTTTTTATCGCCCGGTAATGTCCATTTCTCGTCGTAGTCAAAGTGTAATCCGCTTGCCGGCGGATAGTACGCATGGGCGAGAAGATTGCCCTGGCCGTCGAACGGAAAGCCGTCTCCGTGATGAAGCCGCGCGAAACGTATTGGAATCGTGACCGTGCTGAGATTAGAGCGTAGCTGGAAGCGTCTAGTGCGAAACCATTTGGCCCACGCGTGCATCGCGCGTCCTATCGTTTGCGTCAGTTGCTGCAATGGGTGCTGTTCGCTCCTGCCTGGCCGACCGTTTGCGTCTGGCAGTAAATTCCATGTGATCGTACCGGGCGGCAGCGTGTTTGCTCGATGCAGCGCGTTCTTGGTCGACCGTTGTTGGTCTCGATCGGAGTTGCCGCAACGCTTGCGAGCAATCAACGCCGCCGTAGAGTGGTCCAGTGAACCGCTGCCTGGTATACCTGCAACAGTTTGGAAATTTTTGAGCGCCGTCCTAATTGGCTGCTGCTGTTGCTGTGCGTCGTACCAGGCGTATCGTTTGCGACGCCGTTGGAACGGCAATGCTATCGGCTCGTTTCTCGCGGCCAGCCTTTCCAGATAATCCACCGGAGCGTCTTGCGGTCTCAGGTAGCCGAACTGGATCAAGTAGCGGATAACGTAATCGGGTATCACGTCACTTGAGGGGGGATCCTCCATTCCGTCGCCGCCTACTACTACTACGGATTCCTCGGCGGCCACGAGCAGACTCGCGCCAACGAGCAAAGCTATGAACCATCGATGCGGTTTCATGCTGATTGCGGTAACGGCGACGCGAAGGTTCGTAAAAAACGGATATTCTGCACGATGTCAGTCAGGGTACTGCGCTGCTGTGCTTCTAATATCACGTGATTTCGTGTTCGCACTAACGGCAGTACGACAATGTTTTCGCACACGTACGGGTCATCTATGTCGTCGTAATGGTAGCGATAACTGTTCGCGCTAGTATCTATTAAAAGTAGCCAACTTTTCTCAAACGCAAGCAGCGCAGTACCAGTATAGCGATTGTCACGCCGTTCCTCTGCGAATCGTACCCTATACAGGCCGCACGTGTAGAACCCACGCAGACAAATTTCGTGGTACAAAGTATAGCGGAGCGTACAATCGTCGGTACTGTTGTCCACGTCGTTCCTGCCCTCTTCCCAGTAGTCCATCCCACCATTGATTATAAAATGCTGCAACCAACTGGTGTGTGCAGTCGCCCAAAGGTGCCATGGGCATTGTTCGCTGCACAAACAACCGCACGCCGCGGCGTGAGAACGGGTGCTGCTGCCGCCGACTCGCGCCGTGACTGATGTGGTGTAGAAGAAGAATCTAGGAGCACCTACAAGCCTGATAGATACCGCCGACGCCGACGCCGACGCCGAATCGGCGAGCGTGTCGACCCACTCAGTGTTAAAGGCGCTCAGACAACGGAATCGCGCGGCGGTCGCGTGCGCGAGACATTCGCAGTCGTGCAACGCGAACGAGTCGATGCTGTAATTGCGTGCGTCGCGTGATTGGTCGACCAGAGGCGAGTCTTCGTATACAGCACGCACCCGGCAGAGGCAACCCTCGGTCCCTAGCTGCAGAATCGATACGAGCACCGGAACGATGGGCTCACAGTACAATACTGTTGAGACCGCCGACGTACTTTTTATCGCGAGAAACTCTCCTAGCAACTCTTCCGACCGTGCGTAATTACGCGACACTATGAGTTTGCGTTGAACGCGACTTACGCTTGGCGCCGCCGCCGCGATGCAGCGGCTGGGTACTCGTAATACGCGTGTTCCGTCGAAAGTCTAGTGAGTAATTCGCGCATTTCACGAACGGTAGCTGGTACCGGTTTGCCCAATACGTCGGTCATCGTGTAGGAGAGCACCTTCGTAGACAGACACACCACGTCTAGACGCAGTCGTTTTCCGCCCCCAACGCCACAGGTTGCTGTGCGAGCCGATGTCTCGTACGGGTAGTCGTAATCCATTTGACGCGCGGATATGATGGGAGTGGGACAGGAGTGTGGGACGGCGGGAGTCGATGAATGGCAAACTAAATAACCAAAAAAAAACCAAATTTACTCTTCAAGAAAGAACGTACACAAATTGAACGGATCGCTGTCGTCGTGCAGGCGTCGATGGTCCTCCCGTCGACGGCGGCGGCCGCGTTGACCCGCGTGACGTTTCACGTTGTGGTTATGTTGGTAGCTGGTGTTGATGACGAACGAAAGATTGGGGAAAAAGCACATGGTATCGCGTATCCAGCGCATCTGCCAATTCCTGTTGGGCAGCAGCTCCGGAAAGGATGACGCGTTCAACGGTGAATTGTCGTTACAGTGCCGCAAAGTCTTCTTTTCGCGACGGCGTCGAGTGCGAGCGCGCACGTTTATAAACTGCTTGGCGGTCGTCGGCACGGGCTGCAGCCAACGACTTGTTCGATTGTTAGAACACGTGGGCACGTAGTCCACGTGGAGCATAGTCATCGCGTACGGGCTTTGCCACTCGATGATCGGCAAGTAATTCGGTTCGGCGTTTGGCAACCCGGTACGCTGCAACATTAACAGCTGTGCCAGTAGTTGTTCCGCCGGTGTGCCGCGGATGTCACGCGTCATTCGATAATTGTGTAGCGTTGCACGACGATGCACCGCACCAGCCCCGGCGCAGCGAACGTCGAGTCGATGGTCACGCCGCCGCCCAGCAGCTGCAGCCGCAGTGGCAAGTGTGGTCTGTACGTTAGGCGATGCCACTCCTGCCTCGTCGGCGGCTCGCTCCCTTCAGGCATGTAGGTGCACACGTTGTCGCGCAGTGCCGACAGCCACTTGTATTGCTTGTCGAGTCGTCGTTGTTGTCGTTGTCGCCGCCTCTTCGCAACGCGGAAAAAATTAGGTAAGTCGTTGTGGAGTGAATAGGATCGCTTCGTGCGGGATCCTTCCGCCGTGGAGGATGATTCTGCCATCCTATCGACTCTTGCGCAGCGGTCCTAAATAATGTTGCTGCGAGCAGCGGCGACGGGCGACTGACTGCCGCCGCCGCCGTCTACGACATCCACTACGGGTTCGCGGCGAAGCGCCCACGGCCCCCACTTCGGCACGAGCGGCACATTGCCGCACGGCAAGTTACGCACGAAACGACGGGAGCGGTGCACTTGGACACGGTGCATTTGGACACAGCCAATCACAGCACCGTGTGTTTAGAGACATTTGTAGGGTCCCTTGGAACAGCGACTTGTGATTGGACTGTGTCCAATTGCCCCGTGTCCAACTGATATACACCCCGAAACGACAGCGCGGAGACCAACGCTGATGTCCGCCCCGTACGGAATCGTGCTCCTTCCAGCGGCAGATTTCGATTCGGCACTCGAAACACCGAACCGTATCGTTCGAGCCGATGGCGTAAAAGCCGGCGGCAGCGAATTCGCTCGCCGGCTTCGGCCAGAGGTGCATACCGTCCGCGAAGCTGATCAAGCGACGTTCCTTGCTACGCATATCGCCGTACGGTTCTACGAAGTCGCTTCGCACCACCGGACACTGTGGCGATACGCGACGATGCAGGTCCTTGGGATAGGCCGGACGCCAAGCTATTTTGCACTCCTCGCAGCGCAAGTTCTGAGTCACTGCGTCGTAATAAAATCCTGCGTCGGCTAGATCGCTCACGCACCAGCCGCCGATCGCACTGTGTCCCCGATACGTTTGCAGACGCGTCGCCGCCGATTCGGCCGTAGCCGCTGACGTGGCCGCTGTTTTCGGGGATGGTAGCGTGTCTATCGTAATCCACTCGTCACCCATTGTCACTTTCGAACAGTAATTGCTAACCAGATGTTCGCACGACAGATCGGGCAAGAATCAAGCAACTTCGCACAGCGTGCACAAGCGATAAAGTGTCGACACGGTATGAGCAAACTGCTGCGCGCGTTTTCGTAGCAGATGCAACAGCACTCACCTACACTGTCCTCCCTACAGGCATTCCCCCCACTACACTCGTTATCGCCCCCGCTACCACTTATGCAGCTAATGCTGTCTAAGTCAACATGCTTTCGTTCACGTATTTGCTCTAGGGCATGCCAGATCGATTCGATCAGTTCCACGCGTTCGGCAGTACTGCCGCCGGCGTAAGTCAAACACTCTAGGGCGGTGCGCGCCTGCTCCCACTGCGCCATGGCGCTCTGGAAGGAATCGCTCACGCGAGAGATCGCGCGCAGCATCGCGCAATACGAACGCAATTCACGATTGAGCGCGAAGGACGCGTCGAGTACATTCATTCTGGCAGGACTGAGCTCGGGCGCAAGAGACGCGCGCTCTGCCAATTTGGTACGAGGTACATACTGCGGGCCACCGCTCGCGCCGCTCATAATGCACTCACGGTTCCAAGCGTGTTCGCGCGACACTGACACGCGCCGGTCGTGCAACGGCCAGTCGCACACCGCTAATCCGCACCTGAAGCAAATCGTAATATCGCCGAGACCGCTGTAAAAGAAACCACAGGCCGCCAATTCGTACGTCTGTATTAGCCAGCGCGTGTCGTTGGGCGCCGCAGCAGTTCGGCGCCAATTTGTGAACGAATCTCGCCGCCGCGAATAAGCATCATAGTATGGAAAGATACAGCTAGTCATTCCGCCGCTACCGCTGCTGCGATAATATTCTAATGGTGTAATTTTGGCAGCCATAACGGCGGTATCTTAATTGCCTCCCTTCCGGAAGGTTCGTCTGGTTTCCTCGATGCAGGGTTATCTCGTGAAGCAGGCAGCTTCGGGGACCCTCACGCGTGGGTGGCCGTCACTGTGTACGTGCACGCGCGCACGTTCCGCCCGAGCGGCGGCGGGGTGTGAGGGCTTCAACGGGTGCACGCGCGGCTTTGATATCACACGGATCGCAATTCGTCGTCGGATGTTTGCGCAGTCGCGTCGCTCCCGATTGAGATGTCATCGTTCGATATCGATCGAGGTCACTGATGTATATCAGGTTTCGCGCCTAATCTCATCGCCACCGATCGCATGCTTATCTGCTCGTTTGAGTTGTTTTTTTGACGTGATTAGCTTATCGGCTAGTCAAGCACCTGTGTATCTCTATCGTGCTGCGTTAGCTGATACGTGATACAGTAGCTCCATTATATTACATATCGCGGCGCGATAGTATTTGAGGACCGGCCCGAGGAGGGATACGTATATATAAAAAAAGGCTCTTCATCAAGTGGGTAGCATTAGTCAAATCGTATCGAGTGGAGCACTCATTCGTTCTCATTCGTTTTTATCGCATCGTCGTGACCAGCAGCACACCATGGACCGCTGCTTTGACTCCATTATGGAATCTACCTCTCTGACTTCATAGAGATTACACCTCATTGATCTAGTGCGACGAGTCATTATGCAAGGCGTGTCCGACGAAGTGCTGCAATCTTTAATCGTGCAGAACTCGACCAAACGTGTACTCACCCTATCGAAGTGTATGTACAAAATCTGTAGTGAGCTCAATAAGAATGTCCAAAATGCAGAGTTGCGCAAACTGGCAGATATAGAGCGGGAACAAGAACAAGAGCGCGAACGAGAGCGAGTGCAAAAGGAACGTGAACGACGTGAATTGGAGGAGCAGGAACAGCGTATTCGTCTACAATTGAAGCAAATCACAGAATTCCATATGTCACAAATCGAAGGGTTGCGCAAACGTAAAAGCGATATGCTGGATGTGGAGAATATCGTAAAAAAGCAGTCATCTGATGAAGTCGTCGCTACCAGCGAGGATTTAGTTGATGTAGTTATGAAACGAGTGTACCGATTCACTACAG